AACATTTCCATCCCAGACGTGAAGGACACTCGAGCCTTCCCCATTCATCTTACAATTTTTACATTGTCACCATCTTCGAGGAAACGTGGGCTATTTACCTCTATCTCACTTTGAATTTCCACACTGTCATGATGCAGCGGGACCATCAGGTGGGTGTCGCCACCATGAGTCCCGTCCTCTCTCATCCAGGCTGCCGTAAGACTTGGAGTGAAGTCCTGGCCTGGACCTACAGGTGGGGGAAGGACGGTTAAGGAGGGAGTGGGGCCGGCAGGGTGGGGGCAGGGAACTGGTCCTGCAGGACCCAGCGGGGAGGCACGCTCTGTGCTTCCATCGGAGCAGAAGGGAAGCCCACAGAGAGGGGAGAGTGAGGAGCATATCCTGTGGGCGGCTGATGGCAGAGTGGGGGGGCACCAGCCGGGAGGACCCCAGGGAGGGAGGACTGGATGTGGAAATCCGCCAGGCACTGGCAGGTTGCGTTGTGGGCATGGAGCACAGAGGTCCGGGTTCACTTCTGAGCAGCCCACTCGGTCAGAACCCTCACTGTGGAGGGGGTGGGGCCAGGAGACCCACCAGCACATGAAGCTGAGCTCTGAGCGCTCTGAGCGGAGGACCCAATGGAACAAGGTAAAAATGCACTGCGCTCCACCCTGCAGCTCGCCCTGCAGCAGTGTCCACCATACCCCGGTCCCACTGGAAATGGTCACCGCCTGGGACAGAAGCTGCACAGACTCTCTGAGCCCCTGCACCCTCCCCGTGGCCGGAAGCCCCACCCTGGGGGCACGACAACAGCACCCTCTCCTCACTGCCTACGAGGGATGAGCGCCAGCCCGGCAGTGTCATTCCAGGAGGCCCCTGACTGCTGAGAGAGAGGCGGACGGTGCTGCCCCAGCACCTCCCCGCAGCAGGCACCAGGGCCGCGCCTCTGCCAGCACCCAGTAGGGGAGAGAGAGGAGCCAACAGGCCAGAGCCCAGAAACCACCTCCTCTGACAAAATGGAAGGTTCTACGCTCATCAGACAGGCCCAGGGGCGTGGAAGATAGTTTTTTCCTCTAATACCTGAGCCTCCATTTCCATATCTGTACAAAGGAAAGTATCCCTTTGACTTGAGTGGCAGACACGACCCCTTCACCTGTTGTTGCTGAGCGACCACTGTCTGCTGGATGACACAGGCAGGCTGAGCTGAGCCCACAGCTCAGAGCACCCTCAGGAGCAATCGGGAGCACAGGGAACCTCACAGACCCACAAGAATTGTGACAGGGTGCTTGAGACGCCACAGCCTTCCCTGGAAGGGACACCTGACATGCTCCTGGCCAAGGGGGCAACCAGCAGGGCTGCTGCGGAATGAGCCTTGACACGGACTCGGTCAGGTAAATGGGGAAGCTGGAGAGAAGGAGGTTGTCAGAGAGGGGCCGCGGGCCTGAGACAGCAGGAGCAGATGGCAAGACTCTCATAAGCTTGTCTGGAGGTTTGAACTTTAGCCTGAGTGCGGACAGTGGGAGCCACTGAAGATATTTTTGAGGCTGTAAATAAATGACGTGACAAACAGGTTGACTTGTGAGGGCAGCAAGGACCGAGGGAAGGACTACAGACAGCCCTCAGGAAACATCTGGTTCCTCCCTTTCCTCTCCCCAGGGAGGCAAAGTTAGGAGGACGTGAATCAAACCACCCAAAACAGCAGCAAGCTACACATTCAGACCCCAGGCCCAGCTTCAGAAAGGACCATCCACGGATCAGTGCGTCTGGCCCTGCCTTGTCCAGTGGCGGGTGACCAGCCCACAATCGAGGATTGTGGATTTTACAGACACACGTGATCAGAGACGTGGCTCTAACTTCATTATCAACTTCATGTTTTCCAGTTTCACGTTTTGAATTTCCTGACTTAATTCCTCTCCTCGATTCCTTTATAAAGCATGCAAGTAAGTCACTTAAGTGCAACATTTTCTCTGGTGGCACCATGAAGCAGATGACAAAGGGATGATCTTACTGAGTGTTCCATCAGCAGAAAGGTGGATTAATATCCTAATATTATATGATCAATAAGTGGTCATAATTCTATGATAAAATGCCATTGCCTTTCCATCTGAAACATTATTTCTTCATCTCTAGAGAACAGACCTATTTTGTCTGTTTTAGAAATCATAGAAAACAACACCTTTTTAGAAATTAAATAAAATAACACCTACATTTTTTATTAACACTCGTTTTATGAATGTTCCATAATTGGAAAAACGTAACAAACCTAGATGTGACTTCCTATTTGTATGCAATTTACAGATTCAATGCAATTCCAATACAAATCACAATGATGTTCTTCAATGAAATGGAACCAATAGGGCTCAAATTCATATGGGATCACAGAAACCTCTAGTAGCGAAAGTTCTTCTGACTAAAAGGGTGGAGGAGAAAGGAGCTATTGTTGTGTTGGGCAACACCACGCTGATAAAGAAACGGGAGTTGGGAGTCGTGGAGCTGGCTACATAATGCAGGATGCTGCTGAAGCACAAGATCCTGGTCTTCTTATTGATCCACAGCATGGGTTATAAGGGCGAGGAGCAAAAGGAAAGGGGAAGGAGATTAAGGGATAGGAGATCAAAGAAAGGGGAAGAATGTATAAGATCAGGGATTGTGAGTCTGCCCTCCTGGCACTTCTCATCTGCTGGATGACTCGGTATTGTCATTGAGGGCACACCCTAATCCCCAGCCATGTTTCTAATTTTATTAACAAGGCTTCCACTGATCAGCTTCTGGGGTCCTTTGTTATGCACTGGTCCTCAGGTCCCCAGGTGTTCCAGGTCATACCTCGCGATGCATAGTCTTCCCAGTATGATCTAGCTTTGTGCTCTTGTTTGATTTGAAAGGGCACCTTGAAGGGTTGGGCTATGCACCTAACTGACCCGACCATCTTGACCTTGCTTAGAACTATAGGTGACAAAATGGTCGCCAAACAATCCACTTAGGAGTAGCAGACCCACAAGGTATTACATTCCCAGACATCAAAGAATACTACAAAGCTGTTATAATGAAAACAGTATTAGAACAAAAACAGACACAGACACCAATGGTGAACTACCCAATTGTTAGGGGGAAAGGATGTCCTGAGCTAATCTCATACAGGCTTTGTGGACTCCACCCCCACTCCAGACCAAAGCCATCAAGATAGTGGGAAAGACAAATCCCATCATCACCAAAAGGGTTGCTGGGACCTGAGGGTGGAGTTATTCAGCCAGGTTTGGTAGAAAACCAGACACGTGGGCCTTGGGGGGCTCCTCTTGGCTTCACAGCTCCTGGCTCTCTGTCAGCTTGCAGTGTGCCATTGGGTTTCTAGGTTGGAGGAACAGGTAGGACGCATTTAAGACTTTATCTCCCACTTTTCTCCCTGAGTTGTACATTTCCTCATTTCCCCTTCCCTTGTAAATAAACCTTTCATTAACCTTTGTATGTGCCTGTAGTAGAGTATTAATAAGTCCCTTTTAAGTACGCATGGATGAGGGCCCACAGTCAGCGACCCATTTTATTTCAGGTTTGCCCTGTAACAGTTCTACCTTTATTATCAATTTCATGTTTTCAGTTTCACGTTTTGAATTTCCTGACTTAATTCCTCTCCTTGATTCCTTTATAAAGCATACAATTAAGTCACTTAAGTGCAACATTTTCTGTGGTGGCACCATGAAGCAGATAACAAGAGGACGATCTTACTTAGTGTTCCATCAGTGTAAAAGTGGAAGTATATCCTAATATTATACAATCAATAACTGGTCATCTATTATATGATAAACTGCCTTTGCCTTTCAATCTGAAACATTCTTTCTTCATCTCTAAAGAACAGACCTACTTTGTTTTAGAAGTTATAAAACATAACACCTTTTTAGAAATTACAGAAAATAACACCTACATTTTTTATTAACACTCTGTTTTATGAATGTTCCATAATTGGAAAAAAGTAACATACCTAGATGGGACTTCCTATTTGTATGCAATTTACAGTTTCAATGCAATTCCAATACAAATCACAATGGTGTTCTTCAATGAAATGGAACCAATATGGCTCAAATTCGTATGGGATTTTTATAGGGCAGCCCCGACACAAAACGGGGGTGCCTGACTGTGGGTCCTCACCCGTGCACTTAAAAGGAGTAATCAATGCTCTACTGCAGGCACATGTGAAAGGTTAATGAAAGGTTTATTTACAAGGGAAGGGCAAGTGAGGAAATGTACAGCTCAGGGAGAAAAGTGGGAGAAAAAGTTTTAAATGAGTCCTACCCGATCCACCAATCTGGAATCCCAAATGGCACTCTGAGAGCTGGCTGCAAGCCAGGAGCCGTGAAGCCAGGAGGCAAGCAACAGCGTGCCAGCCCAAGGCCTACGTGTTTGGTTTTTATATCCAACCTGACTGCTTAACTCCACCCTCAGGTCCCAGCCACCTTCCCTTTGGTGGTGACGGGATTTGTCTTTACCAATGTCTTGATGGTTTTAGTCTGGAGTGGGAGTGGAGTCCACAAAGCCTGTATGGGATTAGCTCAGGAATCCTTTCCCCCTAACAGGATCACAAAAACCTCTAGTAGTGAAAGTTCTTCTGACTAAAAGTAGTGGTGGGGGGAAGGAGGTATGGTTGTGTCAGGCAACACCACACTGATAAAGAAACCGGAGTCATGGAGCAGGCTACATAATGCAGAATGTTGCTGAAGAGCATGATCCTGGACATTTTATTGATTCACAGCATTAGTTATAAGGGCGAGGAGCAAAAAGAAAGGGGAAGGAGATTAAGGGATAGGAGATGAAAGAAATGGGAAGAATGTAGAAGATCAGGGATTGTGAATCTGTCTTCCAGGCACTTCTCATCTGCTGGAAGACTCTCGGTATTGTCTTTGAGATCACACCCTAATCTCCAGCCATGGTTCTAATCTTATCAACAAGGCTTCCACTGATCAGCTTCTGGGGTCCTTTGTTATACATCGGTCCTCCGCACCCCCGGGCGTTCCCGGTCATACCTTGATGATGCATAAGTCGAAAGTACATGTTATATCTTGGTCCTCAGCCCCCTGGGTGTTCCCCGTCACACCTCGTGATGCATAGCTTTCCCAGCGTGATCCAGCTTTGTGCTCTTGTTTGATTTGAAAGGGCACCTTGAAGGGATGGGCTCTGCACCTAACTGACCGGGCCATCTTGACCTTGCTTAAAACTACAGGTGATGGGCCTCCCGGTCAGCGGTTGAGCACTGGGTTGCGAAACTGCCTGCAGCCTCTGCACCAGTTCGATCCCCGGCTGCTCCCAGCCAGCAGAAGAGGGTCCCACATGGCGCGCAGACCTGCCCGCTGCCCTCAGCAGTGTGTTTCATCCATCTGCCTGCTCTGCTCCCTGCTCTGACTCTGGTGAATTCTCTCACCCTCCCTTGCTTCTGACTGTACCCAGTGCTTATATAAATAAATAATAAATAAATAAATAAAAATAAATAAATAAATCTTTAAAAAAAAAAAAAAAAAACTACAGGTGATAAAAACAATCGGGTTAGGAGTAGCAGACCCACAAGGTATTACACTCCCAGACATCAAAGAATACTACAAAGCTATTATAATAAAAACATTATTGGAACAAAAACAGACACAGAGACCAATGGTGAACTAACATATGACACAGGAGCTAAGACTATACATTGGAACAAGAATAGCCTCTTCCATAAATGGTGCTGGGGAAACTGGATTGCAACATGCAAAAGAATGCAACAAGGGGGGAGGATCAACATGGCGGTGATGAAACACTGCGAGTAAGATCTCCCATTAAAAATAAAAGTTAACAGGGAGGAAAAGCGGCAGGTCCCAGTGAGAACTGTGACACGGAAGATAAACGGATGACTCCAGCAAACTACCCGAAGAAGAAAGTTGCCATAAAAGAGGACTAGAAGGGAGGAAAGCTCAGAACCCTGCTACCCTCCCCCAACCACAAAATCAGCACTCTCTGACCAACAGAAAGGAGGAAAAAACAAACAAACATACAAAAAAAACCTAAAACAACAAGAACAAACTACGCATCAAGCAGGACTGTGAGTGGAAAGGAACTATTTCAGCCACCACACCCCGTAAACTGGAGCTGTGGAGAACCCTGCAGGATTCACCGTGGAGGTGAGCAAATGGCTCCAGGCCCATTAGAGAAAAACAAAGACTCCCGGAGACCTACACACAGCCCCAAGCCAGCCGGTAAGCTTGTGCGGGAAAGTGGCGCACATGAAAAGCAAATGCAGATCACGGCTGCCCAGGTCCCCGCACCTGCAAACTAGGCTTGTGAATATGCGCAGGGGCCCTCACTGAGGTGAATATCCCTCACTGAGTAATCAGAAACCAGGCGCCTGGACACGGGAGCAGTGTGCAAAAGGCGCCATTTCTGTGGACACTGAACTGGGCAACAGCCCGCGTCCTGGACCTGAGGGCTTTGGAACTAAGACCCGGGGCACAGAATTCGGGGCATGGGTTCCCCACGACGGTGGGGCACAAGGCAGACACAGCACACTAAAGCCGTTGAGGCTTTCCCCACCACTCCCACTCTGTTCCCCATCCCACGGGGTAAAAAAAAACAGCTTCCCAAGGACACTAGGAGAGATCTCTGGCGCCACCTAGTGACCAGAAAAAAAATCACCAACACCCCATAGAATAGGGACCTTTCTTCAGTAAAGACTGCCTGAAACAAGCAGAAGGCTCCTGGAGGAGCCAGTGGTGAGCTGGGAAGTTCACCCACGTCAGGCCCCTTCTGACCAGCAGTCCTAACCCAGAGGGGGAGCGGGCACCCCCAGCCAGGGCAGACCAGGTGCGCGGAAGAGTGTGCCTGTCTCTGAATCACATTTTAGAATAGGGACCTTTCTTCAGTAAAGACTGCTTGAAACCAGCAGAAGGCTCCCGGAGGGGCCAGAGGTGAGCTGGGAAGTTCGCCCACACCAAGCCCCTTCTGGCCAGCAGTCTGAGCCCAGAGGGGGAGCGGACACCCACGGCTGGGACAGACCGAATACTCAGGGGATTACATACCTGCATTGCCTTTTTAGGACAGGGACCTTTCTTCAATAAAGGCAGCTTGAAACTGGCAGAAGGCCACCAGAGTAGTCAGAGGTGAGCTGGGAATTTCGCCCACGCCAGGCCCCTTCTGGCCTGCAGTCCCAGCTCAGAGTGGTAGCGGGCACCCACGGCTGGGGCAGACTGGGTGTGCAGGGAGTTTGTCCCTCATCGCCAGTTTAGAACAGAGACATTTCTTCAGGAAAGACTGTCTGAAACCAGAAGAAGGTTCCCTGAGGGCCAGAGGTGAGCTGGGAAGTTTGACCATGCCAGACCACTTCCGGACTGCAGTTCCAGCTCAGAGGGGGAGCAGGAAACTACAGCAGGGGCAGACTGGGCAAGCAGGGAGTGCATCCTGCATCGCCATTGTAGAACAGGGACATTTCTTCAGTAAAGATTGTCTGAAACCAGCAGAAGGCTCCCGGAGGAGCTAGAGGTGAGCTGGGAAGTTCGCCCACACCAGGCCCCTTGTGGCCTGAAGTCCGAGCCCAGAGGGGGAGCGGGAACCCACCGCTGGTGCAGACAGGGCGCACAGGGAGTGCGTCCCGCATCACCATTTTATTTATTTATTTATTTATTTATTTATTTATTTATTTTCTGTTTTTATTTTTAATTTTTTTTAAATAATAAATTTTATTTTTATATTCCCCCATACAATTGCAACCCCCCCATTCTGATCCCTATCCCTCCCCTCCCGCCCCCCCACCCCCCAAAACGTGTCTCTGGTTCATAGTTTTTTGTTGATTTTGATTTACACTTTCTTATAGTTATTCATTTTCCTGGTCCCTTATTTAAGTTTTCTAGATTCCTGCTATGAGTGAGACCATCCGGTATTTTTCTTTTTCTTTCTGGCTTATTTCGCTGAGCATGATCCCTTCCAGCGCCATGCATGTTGCTGCAAATGGCATGTGTTTATCTTTTTTGAATGCTGAGTAATAGTCCATGGCATATATGTACCACATCTTCTTGATCCAGTCATCTATTTTGGGCATTTGGGTTGTTTTCAAAGCTTAGCTATTGTAAATATTGCTGCTATAAACATAGGGGTGCAGGTGTTCTTTGGAATTGATGTTTCTGTGTCCTTTGGGTAAATACCTAGGAGTGGAATTGCTGGATCATATGGAAGATCTATGTTTAGTAGGTCCAGAAATCTCCACACAGCTCTCCATAGTGGTTGGACCAGTTTGCACTCCCACCAACAATGCAGGAGAATTGCTCTGATGAATAGTGAGGGCTGACTTCCAATAAAAAGTTCTCCTACACTCACGATATTTGTAAGGTTTCTCTCCTGTGTGAGTTTTCTGATGTTTACTGAGGGCTGATTTCCAGTGAAAAGATTTCATACACTGCCTGCATTCATAAGATTTCTCTCCTGTGTGAGTTCTTTGATGTACAATAAGGGCTGACTTCTGACAGAAAGTTTTCCTACAATCTTTACATTCATAAGTCTTCTCCATGGTTTGAGACTGCTGATGTTCAGTAAGACCTGACTTCCAGAAATAAGTTTTCTGACACTGCTTAGACACTAAGGGTGTCTCTCCAGTCCAAGTTCTCTGACATCTTTTGAGGGTTGAATTATCGGACATTTTCCCTAATTCATAAGGTTTATCAGCTGCTTGTATTTTCTCATGTTGAGTAAGGAAAGAGAATTTATAAAATGTTTTCCCACATATATTATAGTCAAAAACTTTCTCACCTAGTGGTACTTCCTGAAGCTGAGTAAGGTTTAATTTTGTTCCAAAATAATCCCCACTTTGATTACATTTGTAGTGTTCAAAATCTTTATGAAGATTCAAATGTGTTGGTTTCTCAAAAAAGGATGATTCCCATTTATTACATGCATAGTATATCTGCCCGACCTGAGCTCTACCTTGGGCAATGAGAGCTGACATATAACAGCCTTTCCTACACTTATATTGAAAGGCATTCTCTCCCATCAAATCCCTTCTTTGGGTAAAAAAATATACTGTTTCTTTGTTGATGTATCTCCCTTCTCCACTAAATTCCAAAGGTTGCTGCAAAGTTTGAATCATACGATGAAGACTAGGATACTCGGGATATCCAGGGCATTTTCAAGTTACACTAGGCCTCTCAATTTTCTCTATTGCATGCATCTCATCAGGCTCACCAGGGAAGAACATGTTCTTCCAAGTATGAAACTCTACAGGCATCATTCCTGAATGAATGTCATTATTTATACTCAAATTCAAATTATATATTGGATGCAAATTAAGTGGTTTTCCTAAGTCAATTATTTCCTTACTTGATGTTTTGCCATTGGCGATTAGAACTTGCCACAAATGCCTGCCCTGGTTTTCCTGGTTGGTCTCAATCAGGTCATCCACAGTATGGGCATCTAAAATGAGATAAAAATAACCATTCCATAAACAACATCTAGGCATCTAAGCATTTCTGATACAAAGGTAAAGGAGTTTCTTCCCACATTAGGACAAGACTATTTTTTTAAAAGGGCATTAATATTATGATGCAAATGATTCCTTTACATAATAAATGAAAGTATGAAATTACATTAATAGATTTTCTAATGTCAAACACATTGATGGAAAAGATATGAAAAACACTGATTTAATATCTTACTTTTTAAATTCATAAGGGTATACTTGGTCAGCATGCTGACATACACTGTAGGTAGAGATTTTGACTGAGAGCTTTCCACCTAGCATTTATTTATCCTATTCCTTCTCTATATATTATCTTGTAAATGTGCATCTTGAGCAGGTCTTTTCAGAACAATCACAACATACTTTGTAAATGGCATGATCATCCTGATCAGCTACTTACTAGGTTTAAGGAGAGCCATTTCTGTCACTTAAGCAGGACTTTGGCTCCAGGACAAGGACTTTGCATCTACATTTGCTTAGTGTTTATTTCTCCTTAGGGAACATGTACAGGCATCTGGGGGTTTTCTCAAAGGCAAAACCTCTTCCTTCTCTAAGACACATTCATTTGTCTCTGAATCCCTAACTAAACCATACACCAGTGGCTTCTCAGAACCATAGTAGGTACAGAAAACCGGCTCATCACTTTGTGCAACCCTTCCCTGATGATATAAAACATTTAGGTTTTGCAACTTAAGGGTATACTCAACATCTTTGAAAAAACTTTTCCCACTTTCCTCTGATACTAAGATTCCTAGTATTCTTAACTCCACTTCTCAGCACATGCTCCTAGTTGAAATTCACTGCATCTGAAGATTTTAGCTTATATTTTAGAATTTCATTGCATCCTAGTTAAACTTAAATCAGAGTCCATTGTTTCTTTTCTTTGTTTTGGTTTTTCTCCCAACTATTTCCAAAAAAGAAGGTGACATCGCAAACTTCAGTCTCTGATTCCAAGGCCCCTGTCCCCACAACCTGAAATTCATGGTTCAGTGCCTTTGGAACTGACAAGGTTTGAGTTAACAAATTCCTAATCTGCACCCCTAATAGTGATATCCAACCTCTACTCCAGATTGCACATTCAAGTCATCTCAACCTTATACGCTACAATGTAAACAGTCTCTGCAAAAGTCCCTTCTGAACCCACATTCTAAAATAATACTGTCCGTTTTCTCTCACCCTGGTCATACTATGGCATTTATCTAATTAATGTGTATTTGCTTCCTCTCTCTTTCTCACAGAAAATAAACTCCATTACAAAAGGTGGGCTAGGGCCTCCCTGGTGGTGCAGCACTTGAGCGCTGGGCTGTGAAGCTGCCCACAGCCTCTGCCAGCACCGGTTCAATCCCCGGCCACTGGGTGAGAGTCCCACATGGCACACAGACCTCTCCTGCCGCCTGCTGCTCCCCTCAGCAGTGTGCTTCAGTCTTTCTGCCTGTTATGCTCCCTGCTCTGGCTCTGGTGAATCCTCTCACCCTCCTGCACTTCTGACTGTACCCAGTGCTCATATAAATAAATAAATAAATCTTTAAAAACAAGTGGGGGGCACGTTCCTTTGATTACTGTTGTTATCCACACAACTTACCATTACCATGTTGAAAGAATAAACAAATGTATGAGTAAATGCCTGAAAGGACAGTCCTTAAGAATGGCGTAAAATTGAGACTCTAGAGATTGATAAACCAAAAACATTTCTAGGGGAAGTTAGTTAGCGATTGCACACCAGTTACTCGAAGGATACTTACAACCATTATAAAAGTAGGGGAAAATTAATTAGGGAGCCATATTTGGAGAACAAATAATGAATGAATCACATACACAGAGACCAACCATTCTAAGGTCTGGATATGGGGAAAATAGCTCAGTAGGGCCAAAAATTCCTGGGCTCTCCTCCTCCCAGCCTCCCTGCCCCGTATGCAGTGACTGACCTAAGAGGCTCTGGTTTGAGGGTTCCTTGACAGTCCATGGCACTGCTCCCTGCTCCAATCTGATGATGAACTCAGGTTTGTTAACACAAAACCCTGTTGATAAGAGAAAATGTTGACTTTAGACAAAACTGCTTAAGTCTCAGTCTTTGAAGACAACAACAGCACAGCTTTAAGAGCTGAGCAATGAAAGGCTGGTGTGGCTCTCTGACAAGGGTGAACACCCTTACCTTCCAGGTTTGCCATCTTGAACTAAATAACATTAATTTCATAAACAGCTGTACATTTATCAATGAAGATAAAACAGTGCTTTCACTTGTTTATCGCAGGGCAGTTTTACTTACCCATGGACAACAGACTGTTGTAGGTCTCCAGCATCAAATCCATGTAGAGAGTCCGCTGAGCATCATCTAGGTCCTGCCACTCCTCCCAGGTGAAAACCACAGCCCCGTCCTCAAATGACAACATCTCCTTTAATGAACATTTCTCAATTCAAGGCATCAGCCTATGTCAGAAGCATAGGATGTGACTGGGAGCTCAATATTTTATGTTTTTATCTTGTATAGGAAGAAGCCATCACTGGTACTCTATATGGTACAAAAGTGATTCCACAGTAGAATTATCCTACTTGTCTTAACTCATTAGCTCTTAGAAGTACTTTTATAGCTTTCCTTATGAATCTGGAAATGTCCTTCATGCTAAGGATGAAAGGATGAGTAAAAACCTAGTCCTCAAAGAAGCTAATCATCTAGTTTGCTGACTTAAGCATAGACATACATCTGGAATAATGTCCAAAAGCAACTATGACAAAAACAAGTTTAGTGTAGACTGGGGTTAAAAAAGGAGCAGGGGCGGGTAAACAGCACTTTCTGTTATCAGGTTGTACTTCACTGAACATCCAAAGATGTTTAGCAATTCTATAAACCACATGTTCTCATGAATATGAGGCAGTAGAAGAAATCAAGATGTGAGGAAATAAAGAGCAGTTAGCAAATTAAAGTGCTCCTAGTTTGTGAGGTGAAATAGGAGAAAGACTGAATACGAAGTTAGTTTGCATTTCCAGATACAACCTGATTCTGGCAATAAAAGTCTTAGGTGATCAACATGTCTCTAATAAACTATTTAAAGTTTGCAGACATCCTAATTACCTAAAGACTTATTTTCATTCCCAAATGAGCAAACACTTTCCTAAACCACAGGGTGTAAATAACAAGGGAATAAAAATAGGTAAGTGGCACAGGGGTTAAAGTATCAGTTCTATGAAGCTATCACCAGCTACTGTGGCTTGAGTTCAATTCCCAGGCATGGAGTTGACCCACATGGCACAGCAGACCTCTCCTGTCCTGACCGCTGCTCCCCTCAGCAGTGTATTTCAGGCAATCTGCCTGTTCTGCTCCCCACTCTTATCTCTGGTGAATCCTCTCACCACCCCCACATCTCTGGCCTACACTACTGTTCTCTATGCATAAATAAATAAAAATCTAAAAAAAATAAAGTAAGTAAGTTACATGGTGGAATTTTCAGTTTAACAGTCATCCCCTTACAGGAGGATGGGAAAATGCATAAGGGAAAGTCAGAGAACAAAGCAGAGGGACAGCGTTACGTATACTGTGGTAACAGACTTGTAGGCATATAGAACACAGCAGTAACCCTAACACAGAGCGCAGTGAGGGAGGAATGGAATGGAACTGGGTAATACTTGGCTGTCTGAAGGGTGAATTCCCTGCTTGATGCAGGCCTGCACGTCACACATTGTCCCTAGGTGACAGGGGCTGGCACACTACTGATGTTCTGCAAGTGCCAGCAATCTAGGCCCTAACTCTGGCGACTCCTTGTGCATGCAAGACTCAGAAACTGGATCTACCATTGCTATAACGCAGCCAGTATCCCATGGCTGAGTGTTTTCATGTATGGAGGACTTGTATATATTAATTTTATAGCCTGGTAATTGTGATTCACTATGGTTTTCCAAGTATTGGGTATAACAAATTATGATATTTTAAACATTTTTTTATTTATGCACACAAGAGCTGGGGAGTAGGTCAGCATTACAGGGGTGAGAAGATTCACCAGAGACAGAGTGGGGAGCAGAACAGGCAGATCCACTGAAATACACTGCTGAGGGGAGCAGCAGGCGAGGCAGGAGAGGTCTGCTGTACAGTACTGTGGGTAGCTACCTGGCCGGGGATTGAACTCGTGCTGCAGTGGCTGTAGAGAGCTTCATAGGTTGTGTCTCAATCCCTTGTGCCACCACGGAGACCCTGTTTTCAATTCATTTTTGAGTCACTGGCTGGCAGGAAATAAAACTCTGTATATGAGAAAAAAAAGGGGATTTGAAGTGCTGTGGTCAGCTACAAAAAAAGGGGATTTGAAGTGCTGTGGTCAGATACAAAAAAAAAAAACATTCAAGAAGGATTCAATCAATGTGTAAACACAGGGGAAGAGGTCAAAGCTGGATGGAAACAGTAGGGACAGTCAAATCACAGGGGCTGACTCAGAGAGAACTGAAGTATGAAGAACGGGGCACAGAACTGAACACATGGGTGGAAGAAACACATTTATGAGAAGAAACACAAGCATTCAGGGGAAAGAGAAGAAATCACCAGAGAGGCAGTGACAAAAGCAAAAAGTAGGAATTTTCAGATCACGAGTGGTATCGACATAAACAGCAGAAGGTTCAATTAAGGCAGACTAGAGAACCAGGGACTAGTCACTGGATTTGACGGCAACTTAATTATAAAGTGGTGAGATTTACACACAGTGAATTGGGGCTACATTCAGTGTGTCAAAGCGGATACCCACATTTAATGCCTGCCATCTTAAGGTTCAATAGCTGTTATCAATTTCATAAACATTTATTAATTTCGTAACAGTTGCCCAAAATCCTAACATCAAACAGCACATTGTGCACCTGAGAATATAGATCAGCTGAGAGAAATGCCAACAGACAGCACATAACACCAAAACGAAGCCCCTAAACCCAGCAGCCATCTCACTGCATCACGTGACCGCACATCACATTTCACCCAAGC